CAAGGAAAAAACTGTATCAGCTGCATCTAATGTATTCATGTTTTTAAGATGGCAGTGGCCACGCTGGATGATTACTAAGTGTAGGCAGAATGAATCCTGCTACCAAATCCCCCAGTCAGAAAGCTTTCTCTATATTCCCTCTATTAATCACTGCAGATAGATAGATAGATAGATAGATAGATAGATAGATAGATAGATAGATAGATAGATAGATAGATAGATAGATAGATATAGATGGATACATAGATAGATAGATAGATAGATAGATAGATAGATAGATAGATAGATAGATAGATACATACATACATACATACATACATACATACATACAACAATTCAAGATAATAGTAAAAGAATCTGTAGCCTTCTTAATGTTGGTTAAGGCTATCAGATGTTAAATATCAATTGCATGTGGAGTGCTAGGATCCCCAGTCTCAATGGAGAAATTAGCTGGTTTGGTTTCTGCCTACTTCTGTTTCTATTTTTTTTTACTTATACTTTTATTTGCTTTTCTTTGAAACAAATTCCATACTTTCCTCTAATTACGCTATGAAACTTTATTTGTAGCTCCCCTAACAATTTGAGTGAAGGGTTTGGAAAGGGCAGGAGGCATCTACCATGAATCATAACCCACTAGATTAGATGGGCTGATTGCAGACTATTTCAAAACCAGCACTCTAACTCAGAGAGGGAGGGAGGGAGACAGCTATGTCTTATTGGATATTGAAAACATTATTCATCACTGGCCATTCTAGTTGGGGCTACCAAAAAGAGAAACACACCACCACCTGGATTGTCAGGTTCCTCAGTCCCGTCTGTCAATCCTTTAATCTTCTTGCTATTTCCTGATTCATTCATTCAGTCCTTGAAGCATTACAGTACAGGAGACAGCAGCAAACACTGTGGGATGGGAAATGGCCTGTCTCTCACTTCCAAAAAGATTTTTGTTCTGCAATTCACTAAGAACAAGTGAGCCTATTGTCAGAGTGTCAAACGTCCCCACAAAAAACTAAGGTGAATTTTTAATGGGAGAAAATTGGGAAAGATCACCATTTTATATTTTTACTTGTTTATTTAAACGGGTTAAATCATAGACTAAAAAAAAGTGGTTCAGAGACCTTCTAGCATCTATATTTCTTTTCTTTTCATTTTTTGGTTATACCCTACACCATCTTCTAAAACAACATAAAACACTTAATTTGGAGTGATGGTTCTTTGAATTCCTTGTTGTTTTCATTTACTATTTTGACCGAGCTAAGTGCTGCCATGCTATTTAATGAGCTATTAGTGAAGTTATAAAATGTTAGTTGAAACTCTTTGGGACCATTACACAGATCTGGTAAAATATCTGCCCATCATCTCAATCTCGCCCACAGAAAATGGTGAGAAAGCAAAAAAGTTGGGGATGGGGGCAGTGGTGGGTTCCTAACCGGTTTACTACCGGTTTGCTGAGAGGGTGTTGATTGAAAACTGTACTGAGCATGGGCAGAAACATGCTGGTGATGGCAGAAGAGACCACAGAACCAGTTCGAGGGCCTGGCAGACCGTGGCAAGCCTGCCAGTTCCAGCGACTCAGGCCACCATACCACTACCGGTTCAGCCGTACCAGTAGGAACCAACCACTGGATGGGAGAGAGGAAGCAGTTCAATATTAGCCTGAAGCAAGTGTGTCTACAATTGTGGGCAGTGGCTTCATAATGGTGTCACCAGATGCATGAAAGTATACCCTTTTCTAATAGATACTTACACATGAAAAGAGTGGGGCTTCAATCACCCAATGGTTTTTATTATTATGAACCCAATGACCATGGGGGCAGCTGTCCTTGGCCTGCATATGATACATGGCAGCACTAAATGCTATCATCCAGTTCCAAAGCCAGGAAAAAACTATGCTGCTTTAAGGAAGTGTTGGCACCATGTTCAACCCCTACTCTAATTCAGCAACAAAGCAAACTAGATGTGTATCTGTAGGAAAGATAGGGTTTTTTTCCCCAGGAGGCAACTGGACTTTCTTGTTTTTTTCTTTTGAAGACTTTTCACTTCTCATCCAAGAAGCTTCTTCAGCTCTAGTGGGGAATGGAAGGATTTTGCAGACAGCTGCAAGGTATAAATCCTTCCATTCCCCACTATCCTGTCAGAGCTGAAGAAGCTTCTTGGATGAAAAGTGAAATGTCTTCAAAAGAAAAAAACAAGGAAGTCCAGTTGCCTCTTAAAAAAACACACCTTTGAGACAACCATGACCTGGATGACTGAGAATCTCTATAGACTTTTAAAGGTGTATCTGCACTAGAAATTGGGGAAGGAAAAAAGCAGGGGCAGGGGAATATCTTCTTTGTTGCCACTTAGTGGCAGCAGATCTGTCATCAGGCCTTCAAACCTGGGGAATTCTTCTAGGAATCAAAGAACTGGTTGCAGAGGAGCTGTTTTCTCCAGTTTATTTCACCCCAAATCTCCTGCTATCAATGACTGTCCAGCTTGGACAAAAAGGGGGAAGAAGACTGGCTGGACAATGTCGTGCATTCATATTCTAGAAAAAAGTTTAAGTTGGACATCTTTCTGCTGGGAGAAGGGGGAAGAGTTTATAGATCAAATTGATTTGATTTGCATTTTGGGAATAAAGATAATTGTGCCTCTCTCTTCTTTAGATAGAAAATCCCCCAACTATCGCTGTATCTTAAGTCATAGATAAAACTCAAAGGTTTTGATGGATGAATCTTTATCTTCTTAGTAATGGTTCTCTCTCTCTTCTCTTATTTCCAGTTATTACAAATGGGCTTTGCTCATTGCTCTGTTGGAAACAGGCACAACTAAAAAAAATGATAGGAGAGCTGAAATCATAAGAGAATTAAATTTTCAAATTAGTACAAATTTCCAATGATTAGCGTTTCTGGGGTTGTTTAAAAAGACTCCTTCCAACAGTGGGGTGTTTTAACATTTGCAAGTCTGCAGCCATACACTAAATACAGGTTTGAAAATCAATAGCACCAGTAGAATTACAGAGAACAGTTCTTAGTTTTTAATCTGTCTCCCCCCCCCCTTTTGAAATTCCAACCAAAATTTGAACTAAGTGAAGATCCAGCTACGGCTGGTTTATGCCTCCATCTGCTTAAACTGATGCATTCTACTATATTCAATTCTTTCCTCACTTTCCAGTTGATTTTAGTTAAATCGTTACGGGGAGGAGGGGGAGACTGCAAATGTTGTACTCACTGCACCATGACACAATGTCCCCCCAACTATTTCAGAAGATCGTTTCGAAGAGATTTGTCCCTTTTACGTTCTTCCTTCCCCACCCCTCACCCAGTTTGGCAACGCTCAGGTTTTTAACACGTACCACCTGTTTGGAGTTCAGACTTGCAGCCGTGCTTTTGATCAATGATTACTTTCACATTCTAGAGCAAACAGCGATTCTTTGCTAAGCATTATAAAAGGCAAAGCACCTAGGCTGTGAATCATCTTCCTTCCACCAAGGAACTAGAACAGCAGCCCTGTTACGCTAAAGGAGCAAAGCGCCGCGCATGCGCACTGTCGTTGTTTTCCACAAAGCTTAAAATGAGCTGGCAGCGGCAGACTACTTGTCTTTGTAGAGAGACCACAGAGCTGGCGGGCAGGAGCTGCGAGCAGCATCTTATGCTGGTACTTTTGAAGAAATCCCCGATGAAGTGCTCGTAGAGATCACACTGATCCTGCCTGCAGCCTTTTTCGCAGAGCAGAGAAACTGATCAGTGTCAAGTGAAGATCGCATTTTTATATGAGATCTTGACTTCCTTCCCCTTTTTTTCTTATAGTGTATTTTTATAGACTTTTATTATTAAAAAAAAAACTAGTAACATGGTGCTGGGGAAGGTGAAGAGTTTGACAATAAGCTTTGACTGTCTTAATGACAGCAATGTCCCCGTCTATTCTAGCGGGGATACAGTCTCAGGAAGGGTGAATTTAGAAGTGACTGGAGAAATTAGAGTCAGATCACTTAAAATCCATGCAAGGGGACATGCGAAAGTACGCTGGACTGAATCTAGAAATGCTGGCTCCAACACTGCCTACACACAGAATTACACTGAAGAAGTAGAATACTTCAATCACAAGGATATCTTAATTGGGCACGAAAGAGGTAAGTCTTTTTTTATTATTATTATTATTATTCTTAAATGTGAAGTGACAACCTTACGAGACCCACTGTTTAATCCTGAGCGTAGTTATTCAAAAGAACCTCCCTAATGCAAGGGAATTTATTCTCCTGCATCGAAGTTCTGAATTAAGCTTCGTATAGAGCTGTGAAAAACATCAAGGTTATATTAAGGAAGGAACCCCGAGATCGTCGGTGCAGCTTGCAAAGTGCTTCCATAAAGACTTTTTCCACCCCCCATTTTCTTTTTATAGAGATCCTTTCACTGTTAGATCAAGAGGGCTGGTAGGTTTTTTTTAAAATGAATTGATTTGGGAAGGAGATATGTTGAAATTTATTCTTAAGTATCTGATGACCCCAAAAAATGTGGCGACTGATTTATTAATCCACTTTTGAGAGCAGGCGAGCCGATCAGTGATGTCTTTAGGATAAGAGAATTGTTGATAGAGAAAGGGCTCCCTGCGGCTTATTTTGACACTTGCTTTCAGCACCCCACGTGTAGATCCGTGTTCCCTTTTACCGAGGCTGGAAAAGTTGGTTAAATTTCGCCGTATTCTTCTGTAATGCTTCAGCCTTCGAGACGTAGGGAAAGCTATTTTGGGGAGGGGAACCCCACTCTTAAATGACCCTCATATTGAATTAGTAGGGCATCCTTTCTAAGTTGAGGAGTTCTATGATGTATGAACCTGACGGTGCCAATGCAAAGAAATCTGCAAAGGGAGCGAGATCAGCAAAGGAAAAAAATACTTTATCGGAGGGTAAATTTGCCTCCAGATTGTTAATCTATTGTTTCAAATGGTGTCAGTGGAAGTATAGCAGAGTCTAAGGTTGTTTTTCTGAAGTTTCCACCCTTTGTTAAAAGCGGTTCAATCCTGTTTGGGACCGGTACTGGAGAGAAGGGAGGGGTGGCGCTCCTCACAGCAGATTGGTTAGGCGCGTCAGGTGGTGGCGATGACTTAATTCCTAGCACAAGAAAATGTTAAAGCAGGTTATGTAATTTTGGCTTGTTCTTTTTATATATATATATATAGATATAGATACAGAAAAATTGCTGCAGATAGGAGGGAGAGAGAGAGGTTATAGACGATTCGCCTTAATTCGGTAGCATGTTAGGGATTTGTGGTTTTTTTTTTTGAAAAATCTGAAAGTAGTTCTATGAAATCGCTTCTCAAATGTAAGTGACGTGAGGAGGGCACTTAGTCGAAAGGTACAGAAGGTAAAACTTGCATTGCGGGTCGTTTTGAGAATAAAATACAGCTTTCCTCCAGCGGCTGTGCAAAACTCAAGCTCTTCCGTTAATAATGGCAGGCTTGAAAATACTCCCCCCCCACCTTCCCCACATACTCCCAGTCATTGAACTGCACAAAATACGTTTGCAGTGTTCCTGGGGAAAGTAAGGTTAGAACCCAGGGAAAACAATTATCAGTTGCTTTTCAGATGTCCTTGTGATTGCACCTGTTTCTGTGGCAATTAAATAAGGGTGGGTTTTCAAATCAGTATTTATTTGTAAGAAACAAAGACTGGTAGTGATCTACGCTCGGTAGGGTCGGGACTCTTGACCCAAGCCCATACGGATAACCGAGCAGTAGACTCGGCTGAATTGTCCTTCTACGGAGCGGCTCTATCTCTTCATTCTTCACCGGATCGCTCTCCTGATGGCGAGCGGCTTCCAAGGCTTGACCCCCCAAGCCCAGAGCGGGGGAGTTTCAGTGGCTTAGCTGAGAAAGCAAGACAGGAAAGAACCCGGCAGCCTAGCGTGCTCGCCGAAGCCACGCCTAGCGCTCAGCCAGTCATTGGCTCGGAGAGGTTTGTTAGGCTGTTGCTAAGGCAATGCCACTTCTTGATTGGGAGTGGGGAAGCCGAGAAAGAGGGGCGGGACTAAGAGCCGAGGTTCGTTAGCTCGCGGAGGCTTGTGCTGCTCCTCAAGTGGAGTTGCGCGTGCTGTCGGAATGTGTATTCCTGGATGGCTTCGGTGGAGGGCGGTCCTTTGTCCTCGGCCACGCGAGGTTCGCGTTGCTGTGTGCGTGCAATCCGTGCAGCAATATAAGAAACTCTTGGCCCATCGCAGTAAAAGCCTGACCTATGCTTGGGAGTTAGCTATAAGTCTTCAGTTTCTGGGTAATACTGAGTGGAAGGGCTGCCTAGATTTCATTCTCTCTCGCCTCCCTACTTACGCCGGCTCGGTGAGGTTTATTTTGGAGGAAGCGTGCGTGCATAGATGTGCAGCAAGCGCTTGGTGACCGCCACGTCGTTTCAGTTTGGTTGAAAATTGGATGGGACTTTAAATGGGGATCCCACGCGTTGGAGCCTGTAGGAAAGGATGTGCATAACCGAAGCCAAACTGAGGTTTTTTTTTTGGGGGGGGTGTGTGTCCAAAATCCTTTATAGCAAAGCTCATCTTATTCTACCAAGGAACAAGATTTGAGTTTATTAATACGCTTACCGCAGCAACAATCATGAAAAAATGCCCTATTTTTGCTTGGGCATCGATTCCGCAATCCTGAGCCCACAATCTGGTGTCGTGAACGGCGAGTCCTCACTGGGCATTGAAGCCTATCGCTTCCGAAAGATAGCTTTAGTTTACCAGCTTTCCTTCCCCGTTGCCTAAAATGGGAGACAGGATCATTAGGTCGATCCTAATTGCAGAATCGAGTCTCATTCCGCAGGATCGTGACTTTGGAACCAAATAAAGGGAATGGGGGGTTGGATTCCTACACCCTATTTAATAGCCCCTCTGGGATCCGGATCAACTGCTCGGACTCCCAAAGCAAACCGTGAAATACAGTAAGGCTTCCAAAGAGGAACCTCGGCTCCTTTCTTTTTCTCCCGGGTATTTGCACTCCTTGTACATTTTTACGTAATTTACTATGGGGGCGAATAAACTGCCCAAATTTGGTCGCTTTTTCACGGAACGGCCAAACCGGTCTTGTCAATCCTTGCCCAAGGACTGGCAATCAGAAAGCGAGGACGCCAGAGCAGTTCCCTTTGCTCCTTTCTCTCGGCCCTTCATGACGCCTCCAGTTAGCAAGCGGGGCGGAGCTGCTGAGCAAGGAGGCTGGGCGGGCGAGCAATGTATACTGTATGCATATGAGCGGCTGGCTGAGGTTCTGTTCGCGCCGGTTTAGGCCGGTCCTCTCCTGCTCTAGACTAGTCTGTGATTGACAGCCCAGCAGTTGTTTACCTCAGCCAGGCGGCGGCGGCTGCTGCTACTCCGAAAGCTGGAGGGAAACTGCTGAGCTGGCAGAATGAGAGGGAGGAAAGCGGAAGGGAGGAGGGGGATTTTCAGTATAATAAATGGGAACGGGGTCAGCGTGAACCAAACGTCAAAAAACATGATTTTCGACATCTGTATTGTATACACATGTATAATGAACGGTGGTTTTGAAGATGCCTTCAGCTATACCAGTGGGAATGAAGTCATGCGCTTAGTGGTGGTCCAGATTTTTGCAGCCCAGATCTGCAAACTTCAATTAGTGCCATATCCTAGATGTATAATTTTTGAGAATGGGAAAGAAGCAGCTCTTCCTAAAGCTCTAGAGGAGGAAGACATTGTCACACATTTTATTCACTCCTTGCCTGAATAACTCAATTCTAAGACATTAGTAACAGTGCTCTCTAGCTTGTTAACTGGGAGTACTCTCCTTTTTTTATGTTAACAGGGAGAAGTTATTTATTGGTCTTGCCAATGCTATTATTTCCTGCTAGGACATTTTCTCATATTTTAGGACTACATTATATAGGATTTGGGCCCTGGCCTGAGAAAAACTATAACTGAGGACATGATAGGGTCTGGATTTGTAAGTGTAGAGAAATTTGCCCATCCCGTTAGAGTAATACTAAAGAATTCTAAGACAGAAAGAAGTTCCTTTTTAAATGCACCTGGAATCTTCTTTCTTTGGTTTGTGAGAATCAAACTAAAAAAAAGATTTTTCAGATAGATATGTAGAATTTATCAACCATATTAGTGTTAAATATTTATTTTCAGAGTCACTAGTGACAGGTGTATAGGATAACAGGAGAAAAATACTTAAACGTGAATTAGAATATTGAATGTTTCCTTTCTAGATGATGATAATTCTGAAGAAGGCCTCCATATCATTCATTCAGGAAGACATGAATATGCATTCAGCTTTGAGCTTCCACAGACGTAAGTATATGTAATACTCAGCCGTGACATTTGGGTCACCCTGCAATAAATCTATAAAAAGCAGCTTATAGAGGGAAATGGGATGGAGAAAAAAAAACCCTTTTCAATGGTCACACGGATTGCACTAAAATATGCTGCAGGGACATTGTCCTAATAAACAAGAAGTTGCTTTGATTCAAAGTGGCAAAATCATGAAAAATCAGGACAACTACTGTCCTACCTTAAAAACATGGTTCATTTATTCAGTTGTTACATATTTAATTTCAAACAAGCTCACTAGGCTTTTAGAGACATTTGCATTGCTTCCTGTTGAATTAAAACTTGCTACATTGCTGATAGTTTCCATTGAACATACCTGTTAAAATGATGTAGAACAAAATTGTATGAATGATATGGAAAATTTAAATGTTAGCAATGGCTCTCGACTTGTAAAGTTACAGATTATATGAGAGTTAGGCAAACGGATGAAGAAAGACACTTAAGTCAAAACAAGAAAAAGCCATTATTTCAACACAGATGCATTCTAAACATTCTAAAGATATTTTAAATTAGTGATATACTGGAAAAGAAAAATATGATGAGAATGACATGGAAATATACACATTTTTAAAATGGAATTATTTGATAATTATATATAATTATTTATAATGAAAGCCAGAATGTAGAGAGAAGAAAAAAGAGACTTCTATTAAAGAAGTTGTACATTGTTATGATAGAAAATCTTTTAGCAATATGATACATCATTGTCACACATTTTAAAATTATGCAGTGTGTCTAGTAACTTGTGTAGAATTTGCAGGCTGCATTGCTTCCTATTGGGTTTTTTCCCAAAGAAGCAGTGTGACAAAATTTAATTACCCTGACTAGAATATTTTACAAACTCTGTGGTGTTTGATTTAAAGATATAATTATCACTAGCAAATTCAGTGAAAATATCTCAACTAAGACTACTTATGAATTAGAAGTTGTAGACATACATACATACATACATACATACATACATACAACATACATATAAAATAAGTTAAAGCATAATTTACTTAATTCTTATGTTTCTTAATTAGTATGGAAATAATTGGAAACAAACTTATTTTTGTTTTTAATTAATATTCTTTAAACATAATTATGAACTTAAATGTATAAATGCATTAATTGAAGGTACCAGGGAATGCAAATAAATTATTTTAGACTGAGCACTTTTATTTTCAGTAAAGACCAGAATATAGAAAAGTCTGTAGTTCTCAATAATATCATCATTTCATTTAAGAATACTAACTGAAAGGAAGTAAAGTAACTTTGTAAATTTAAGCTCTGTTCTCTTCTCTGTAATGAAAGCACAGATCTGGAATATTAAATGCCAGACATTATATGACTTAAAAGAATATATTTTGTACATTTTTATACATGATGCCTTTAAAATCAAAAGCATCTTTAAAAAAATCCCTGGTTTAAATAATTCTCATATATAAATTGAGAATTTTGAAAGCAGTTCTGCAAAAGCAATTTATGGACCTGCTTTATATTTCATGGTTTTAAATTTAAAAAGTGATCTGTTCTAAACTTAACATATCTCTTAACTTGATCTTCAATATATTCAAGCTGGAGCACATTCAATTCAATTACAGTTCCCAGTCAGCTAAATGTGACTTAGAGTGAAAATGTAATTCCTCCTGCTTAACCAAATTGTATTAGGAAGTTGTATCCTCGTAGCATATTTCAGTGCAATTCTAGTACAAATATGGTCATACTTTGTAGATCTGTTTAACAATCAGTTTAACTACAGAGATATTTCTCCCAAACACATTTAACATGAAATCTTAAAAATAAACATTTCATTATATACTATGATGCATTAACAGTACAGTACAACTTACTAATTATTACTTTGACTGTATATTTACGTTAAGCAACAACAGAGCTAAAGATTTATTTAGTTTTGACCTTTGTGTCCTGAACAGACCACTTGCTACCTCATTTGAAGGCAGACATGGCAGTGTGCGCTATTGGGTGAAAGCAGAATTGCACAGGCCTTGGCTTCTACCAGTAAAATTAAAGAAGGAATTTACAGTCTTTGAACATATAGATATCAACACTCCTTCATTACTGGTAAGAATTGATAGAATTACTAATTCTTTGTTAGTAACATTTTAAAAAATATCACACATGGCCCTTGAATTATATATATATATATACATAGATAAAAGTAACAATAATCAAATCAATGGAATGCTTAAAGTATATGCAATGTAATACCAAGAATATGGTAGCATATTGAGTAATAATAATTTTTAAGCTGCTTGTTTTTAACATATTAAACTGTTCCAGTAAAGATTAACTATGGGACAGTTTTATTTATGGAAAAAAAATTCACCTTAGAATTTGCAGCTTGGCAAAACAATGTATTTTTTAAAAATTGTACTGCAGTGCATTATTCTTTATTCTATTACTGATAATTTACATATCAAGTGGGGAGAAATCATAATTCTGTATGTTATCTTAACATACTTATTTTAATATATCAGGGATTTAAGATTCTTTCAATCTGATCAAAAACCATTATTTGTTCTTTAAAAAATATTTGAAAATGAAACACATGGAGAAAATGTCCATTGAAACAGGGTTCTTTTGCTTTGGATAAAAATCATATTTGGGATGATATAGGGCCTTGTCTAAAATCCAACACAATCAGCAGGAATATTTCTGTGGATTGTGTATGTTTGAGATAAAGCCCATTTCATATATAATTTGACAAAAATAGTACTTTGGAACCACCCAACCACTATTAGATGATGCTACTAGTTTTGATGGATTTAGTTAATCAATGGTGTTAAAGAATATGGACCATTTGGGGCATCTCTTTATTAATAAATGCTTAAATGAGGCTAATTTCAATTACCTGATATAAATATTTCAGGACAAGTCTATGATTATAAGAAGTAAGTCTCATTCAGCTTTAAGAAATATATTTGTAATTTTGAGCTAAAGATTCACAAAACATTTAATTGACAATTCAATTTAAGAACAATTTAAACTGATTTATGATCCTAAACTTCACTTTTAAAATGTAAATCGAAGAGATGTACTTCCATCATGTAACAGTATGGTCCAAATGTTGTTAGTCCAAAATTAAGTTCCACTTGCTCACTAAGTTTTTATTTGACTGGTAATGCAAACAGGCAGCCCACCCTTGTGTTTCTTTCTATATAAGAAGCCTTACTAAGTTTAGTGAAATTTATTCTCAGGTAGCATAGCATCACAGCCTAATTTAGCACTGTGGAAGTTACTCCTGGGTAGATATGAATAGGATCTGGCACTATTTAAAATGAAGTCTTTTAGCTCTGATGATGATTTGGGATTTTCAGTGACCTTATTGCTAAACCTATCTCCTTGGAAACAGACCTCATTGAAGTCAGTGAAATTTGCACCCAAATAAATATAGTTAGGATCATACTGCAGTTGGTCTGTGTCTGAATTGTTAGACCAAATACTTTCAATAATATGGGAAGCTTCCATATTCTGAATCAGACTACCCTGTTTTCCCGAAAATAAGACCTTCCAAGATAATAAGCCCAATTGGGCTTTTGAGCACATGCGCTAAATTATGCCCTCCCCAAAGATACTGCAACGCAGCAGCAGCCATGAGGTGACCACGCTCGCCACCTCCTGCACCTCAAAAATAATAAGAGCTCCATATCTCAAGGATCATTCAGATGAGAAATATAAACTGGAGTGGAGAAGATGGATTGTCTATATTCAAAATAAATATGGTACTAAAAAATTCCAGATAGCTTATGACTGAAAAAGCAAGGAATGATTTAATTTGTTTATAGTTAGCTTAACAAAAGAGGAGTTAAAGCACAAATGAAAGATGAAGCCAAGTTTCTTTTAGTTTATTTTAGAATATGTTGTTAAAGATTTATACCCTGTATTTGCTCTGGGAAGTCCGGGGGAGGGGGGAGGTGGGCTCGGGGCGGGGGGGGGGAGGTAAATATTTGTAAAAGCTTTTTAAAATTTTCAATAAAAAAATAAAAATAATAAGACCTCCCTGAAAATAAAGCTAAACACTTGGTCAAAAGAAAATAAGACCCTGTCTTATTTTGGGGAAAACACGGTACTAATTTATTAAGTTTACTTTCATCTGTATAGTCTGACTGTAGGATCCATCTGAGGATGACAAATGTTGAACAGGGTAATTTTTTTCAGTGCTAGTACACTGACTGCAGAAACTTGAAATACTGAATAATTGAAAACTAGAATTTAAATTCTAATAATTGAATTTCAGTAAAATTAAAGGATTGAAAAACTACTAATTGAGTAGTACTTTACTGAATTAGTCCCATGGTAGAATTAATAGTGACAAAGTTCATTTTACTTATATATTTTGTCTTATTGGCTTATTCATAAAAGAAAAAGGCCATAGAAGTGTTAAGATACTTCTAGACAATGACTTCTTTGTTTGCTGTAGTGTTAATGATATAATAGCCAGGTAGATGGCAGGTCTGTCTATCTTGTGCTAATAGCTGCTGATCTGGATCCAGTAATAGAATCAGCAACTCAGATCACAGTGGAACCAAATCACTCTTCAAACTATTTCATTTTCACTAAGCTAAAAATGTAATTACTGTTTTGTTTTTCTTTCAGTCACCCCAAGCAGGCACAAAAGAAAAGACTCTCTGTTGCTGGTTTTGTACCTCAGGCCCAATATCCTTAAGTGCCAAAATTGAAAGGAAGGGCTATACCCCAGGTATGTAACATGAGTTCTAAGGAAAGTAGGGTTTATGATTTTTTTCATTTAATTGATTTAAAACAATGTTTGGTTTCTTCTGGGGTAAACAAAATGCAGTGTCCTATTAATGGTTGGTTTGCATGTTAACATCAAATGTTATGACTACTTGATTATAAAAATACATATGCCACAGTTTAGATCCCTTGCAACATGCAAGGTCTTTTGAATAATTAAAATACAAAATATGTATGGACGCATGTAATGTTGGCTTGGTATTCACGTTAAAATTATTGAGTTGTCAAACTGAGCTCCTGGTGACTTAATGAAAATGTCCATATTTTTTCTTAGATAGACATATTTGCCCATTATCTCCTGGAGAATTTTTTTTTCAATTTCCCAGACTGTATCCCTAGGATTTTCATATGGTACAGATTTATGATTTACAGATCTGTTTCTAGTTAGTGTTTGGGTCAAACTACATTAATTTGGTAGCTGCCAATGCTGTGGCTTCTTGTATTTTCTTAATTATTAAAAATAGTATCACCAATGCTTACATTTTAAAAGATTCATGATTTCCATCTGATGTGCTTATTCTTAATTTCATTCAAGGTGAACCAATTCAGATCTTTGCAGAGATTGAAAACTGCTCATCTCGAATGGTAGTGCCAAAGGCTGCCATTTATCAAACACAGGCATTCTATGCTAAAGGGAAAATGAAGGAAGTAAAACAGCTGGTTGCCAACTTGCGCGGAGAATCTTTGTCATCAGGGAAGACAGAAACCTGGAATGGCAAGCAGTTAAAAATTCCACCTGTGTCCCCATCCATCCTTGATTGTAGCATAATCCGTGTAGAATATTCTCTAATGGTAAGAACTTAATTTAATCTTTTAATATTTAACAGAATACAATATACATAGAGTAGATGACAGGTTTTGATTGGGCTTTGAGTAATTTCTTGTTATTTCTTTTCAAGGTATATGTGGATATTCCAGGTGCAATGGACTTGTTTCTTAATTTACCACTTGTCATTGGTACTATTCCTTTACATTCATTTGGCAGCCGAACATCAAGTGTGAGCAGCCAGTGTAGCATGAATATGAACTGGCTTGGTCTGCATGAAAGACCAGAAGGTAATTTAACCATACATTACAAATTATTTGTGATTTTCTATAGGTCTGTTATTCTAGTAGTATTTACTGGTAGTTAATACTGTCCTAAATAATAATGCTGCATAAACAGTATAGAAAGATTTTTTCATTAGGTAATGCCAGAATATTGTTCTGGATCATTGAAAACCCAGACTTTTCTGGGAATGGAGAGATAGAATAGAACAAAGTCCCAGATCTGTTAAGTGGTATAACTATAGAAAACATTTACAAAATTTCAATGATATTGCAGTATTGATTTTTGTCACAAATACCACTAAAACTGGCCAAACTGGTATAAATAGATTATATTGCTTTTTCTTACCTAATATTGATGATTTGACAAAGGCTCTGCACTTGTGGCAAGCTGTTTGTTGGTTTTGATTATTTGGTTTTTACAAACCAGCCAGTTATGTTTTAATCAGTAAGCTGTGGTAATACAATAACAAGAGTTTTGGCAATGTGGAAACTCCCCAATATCTGTAGCTAGTTTTCTTCTTGGAGAGCTCTAAATTATAATGGTTGTACCATTATAAAACATGATTTTTTAAAATTCTAACCTAGTTATTGCTTACCAAAACTACCAGGTAACAGTTGAAATTATTGTTATCTCTGCCTTGAACAAATCATTTAAACAAAGTTTAATATCCTGTCATGTTATATGTTCTGACATGCATAAGAACATAGTTCGAACTGCGTGTAATTTTCCCTTCAGCACCTCCTAGCTATGCAGAAGTGGTCACTGAGGAGCAAAGACAGTCTAGTCTAGCACCCGTAACTGCTTGCGATGACTTTGAAAGAGCACTTCAAGGACCATTATTCGCCTACATCCAAGAGTTTCGATTCCTGCCTCCTCCACTTTATTCTGAGGTGAGATAACAAGTAGTTAAAGCTCCAGGTTCTATTTTTAAGTATGTTACATTTTCTCTCATTCTTAAATCTCTCCCACTACAATGAACTAATGCATATTACATATTACAAGATTTCCCCTTGCTATATTTATGCTTATCTTCTATCTGAAATTGCAACTTTTATTAAACTTGGAGGAACATAATTTATATCAGTAGAAATTATTTCTACAAAAAAGGGTACCTTAGATTTAACAAGGGACTTTGTATTTAATCATTGTGTAATATACAACAAGTATTTATATATTAATAAAATACCAAGCCCCATTTTACTACATTTTAATTTTACTACAACTTCTGGCCTTTTTTATGAAAAAAATTCAAAGCAAATAAATGGTTTGTGCTTGCTTTAAGCTCTTTTATTGTAATAAAAGAGCTTAAAACATTAAATACTATGTGCAGGTTAGTTAAGAATTAGCATTTATTGAAGAATCCAAATTGACAGTTGGATGGTATGTTTATTATACCATGCTAGTTGTCTTTAATGAAGGAAATGACCAACTTAGGAATCTTAATTTTTTTTCTTACAAAAAAGACACTTTTAAAAAAACTGAAAAATGATTTGCACTTTTTTTAAAGTTGCAACTGTCAGAAGAAAAAGAGTTGGGTAATATTTTACTATTCAAAATGATCCTACTATAAACATATTTTCTATCCATTTTGGATTGTGTTATTTTTCCTGAAAGAAGATCCTACTATATTGTTTGTTGAAAAAAATGATTTTGTCTCTTTTGGCTTTAAAAATATGCATTATTTCATTTAATTTCATTTCAAGATATATCATTGTCACTGTCTATAAAAGCATGGAATTCAGTATTACTTGAAGTTCTTTTTTTCTAAAGTCATAATTACAGCATTAGGATACTTAATATTAGACCCAAAGCACTAAAATTTGCTATTCTCTTTCACCCAACTTGTTCTAAAATACATATAAGTTAAAAAAATGAAAGAACTCTGAATATTTTGCAATAATTAAGGATTGCTACAAATCAGGCAGCATGTAAACGTAAATCATCATCATCATTCAGTCTCAACATCTGTGCAACCAACCGTAGTAAGTATTATAGTTTCTTCCTTGTTTTTAAAGTTGTCTCTTTTTTTTGTTCCTCTTTCACTTAGATTGATCCAAATCCAGATCAGACCTCAGATGACAGGCCATCCTGCCCCTCTCGCTGAAAGAATGTCTCCCAAAAATGTTGAGATGGGTCTGAATCATATTTTAACTGTATTCAGGATAAAGACGTCCTATAGAAACAGGCTTTGAAAGGAAGTTATTGCCTAAAAGAAAAGGAGAAATAATGAAACATCCTGTGATTATGCTTTTGAAGTCTACAGCAAACATCATAGGACTGCTCCACATGCTTGAAGACCTGGGCTTTCTCTTTCTGTTCTATAATGGCACATACTAAGAGCAGCCTTAATAGCCTACACGTGTCAAAATACTTACCATGTTGCAAGAGGGATAACATTCTCCTTTTATTTGAAAATTTGCACATGCTCAATGCTTTTGTTGTGCAGTTCAGTGTCACTACAGCTTTTTCTCATTTATGTTGGACTGTTAACCTCTTCTAACTTGTTTGTGGTCCGCACAACAAGGAGCAAAAGAAAGCTTTGAAAACTTTGATACAAATGCACTGACTTTTTTTATTTAGATAAACAATATAGGTTGGACTTTTTCTGCATATGCACATGTTCAGAATTGTCCCAATAAGACTGATCCATGCATCACCTCTTCAGCTTGGATCCTCTTGTGGATTTATTACAAACATCAAATGCCTTCAACCAATCCTTGCTGTATGTTTCACAGCCTACTATAGTAGACAAGCAACAGATTCGAGGGGCGAAAGTAACAAAAGAAAACAATAGGATTTTTTGTCAGGAGTGTGTATCTTAATTCCTTTTTAAGCATTTGTTGCCTTTCTACTATTACTGCAAAGACGAATTTTGTTACAGACTGCCTAAAATCACTTAATCTCAGGTGAACTCATCACTTGCCAAAATGTTGAAATGCTACTTGTGTTTATGTTGCACTGTTGAGTTCTTTTTTCCTCTTTTGTTTTTGTTACTTCGTTTTCTTTGAAAAGGGGACTTGGAAAAGGGACATACATATATTAAGACATCCTCATTTCTTATTATCTAGCCAAAACATGAAACATAATTAAGAGTTTGGCCAAATTCCTAGAAGACCCATGTAGGCAATAGCACCGAACATATCAGCAAGAGTTGAGGAGGAAAGTTATACATGATTTATAAAATTACTCACGTAGGGATTTCTTAGCTAGGTGGTATGGGTAGGGAAAGTAAATTTATTTTTATATGTAGTTAACTCATGACCAGAAACGTGTAAAAAAATTTATAGTGAAATTTTAGTCAGATTAGGGTGGGCATCTCAAGTGAGCAGTATCTCTTTTAAGATACTTTAGAACATATTTTCTGGGGACTGCTATTTCAAATATATTCTCTACTAAAAATGAAAGTGACTCAGTAGTAAAATCGTTGATATAATTAGCAGGTTTGCTTTGCTTAATTTGAGGATGGGTAACATTACAAGGAATTGACTAGTAGGTGATTGGGGTGGAATCTCAGCACAAATGCTAAAATATTTAATTTTTAAAAAGTCACAACTATCACCTTTTGGAAAACTCGACTCATTTTTTACCAAAATAACTATTCTAATTTTCAAGTGGCAAGAATTGAGTTCATGTATTGCTGACCAAGTGTTGATTTTATCAATAGATTGGCTTTGGACTGGTGCAGCTCATCCCAAAGCCTGTCTTGAGGATTAGAACAAGTAGGATAGGCTTGTCCACAAGTGGCCTTTAAGAAAACATGGACAACAATTCATGTTTGAATACTAACAGGGTGAAAAATGAACAGTATAAAATGAATCGCGTTTTAAGTGATTCTTTTAAATGAGTTTGACCTTTAGCAAGCAAACTTCATATGATGGCATAATAAGAAAATTGAGCGATGGAACTTAAAAAATACAGTAACAATTTTGTGAATGTCCCTCTTCCATAGAAGATTAAAATATGCTTTAACGGGATAAAGGCATAAAAGGGCATTTGGTGGGCTTTTTGTTGTTTTTTGTTTTAATCAATGAGGGAACAATTGTTATGCATAGCATTATATTTATCACAGTATAATAGAAGGTTCTATATTGAAGCAGGATTGACCAATATTGTAATAATTGGCATTTCAATATACCAATATTGTGATGAGATTAAAATTTGCAAACACTAATTTTTTTCACAAAATATTACACTTGCGGCATTACTATTATCTCTGACTTCAGAAATATTGGTCATTGTCTAGACATTGTATAATATTGGATTTTGAGCTGTAAGTCCAGTATTCAAAATAACAATTAAAAAGGGGGGATAAGTTCAAAATGTTAAACAAAGTGCAATATTTAATGTTTGCTTTATAGATTATATTCAGTGGCTGTTTGTACTATATTTTCTTTCTTTTTTCTGTTTTTAGTTTGGTGCTGAATATGTCTCTGTAGATTCTGTTCAAGAAAACGAATTGTGGAAAACAATTTAATTTTTCCTATTGCTCTTCCTTGTGGATAATAAACTTTTTTTTATATAAAGCAAGTTCATTTGATAGTTTTCATCTGAAGAAACAAAAGATACCTCCTCTTGAAATTATATGCTGCAGTTATAACACTTGAAGCAAAAAAATCACAGTTTGAACCTTCTACTCATCTTGAATGTAGTAGACTGGTTAATACATAGGTCCTCACTGTGCTTTTAAAGAATGTTAGGTTTATGCACACCTTTATTTAACCAAGTTTCTGAGTACATATTAGTTTACATAATAAGAGCAATGGTCTAGCTCAGCGATCCTTAATCTTTCTGGCACCAGTTTCGTGGAAGACAATTTTTCCACAGACCAGGGAGGGAGAATGGTTTTATGTGCAACCTAGCTTCTGCGCATGCGCAGATGACCCTTCATTCGCTCACCCGCCACTTGTGTAGCCCAGTTCCTAACAGGCCACAGACTAGTCCACAGCCAGGAGTTGGAGACCCCTCATCTAGCTCATAAATATCTAACATACTTCTCTTAATACCTGTGTCATTTCCATCAGCTATGGAGTATTGAATTGAAAAGGTTTTATGTTGCCAGTTTGGATTTAATGAGAGTATAAAAGTATATAAATACATACTAACTGGCCTTGTAATGTTATTTATGTTTGGTTTTCTGTAGGTACCACATTCTGCATTGCTATGAGAATGGAAAATAAATAATCTGATGCAAGTATAGAAGGTCACATCAAAATAGTTTATTTGAACAGTTAAGTATCTGTATAACCATTGCATATATGATCTAGAAATAAAGGGGACACTAAGAAACTTGTATTCTGGAAGCAGCTATGTCTGGCTGACATAACGTACCATAAATATTTTCTTGCAAGTTCCAGTTGTAGTTCAGATTTATGATTCTTAGAAATTCTAAAAGCTGACAGCTAAAAATTGATAGCACTGTTGCATGGTCATATCAAAATTTCTTTATTAATGTTGCCAAACTTGATTTATATAAAATTCAGAAATGACTGAGCATTAAATTAAAATAGGGGGTGTCTATGTAGCCTATATAAACTACTGAGCACTATTACAACAAAAATGATGAGTCTTTCTCTCCTTAAGATTTTAAAAACATCTTCATTTTCAATGATATCTAGGTTAAACTGACCCTCATATTAAAATGAGCATTGTTCAATGCAATATAAAATATACTTGTATTAGACTAAAATGTGCTATTAGCTTTCAGCATATGCATTAGTGAATTGTATGGAAGTATATTCTTTATTAACCAGATACTATAGAGAATATGATTACAAATTCTAGGGTAATTTCATTGCTTTTTAGAGTTCTTTATCATTAAGTTTCAGAATAACATTAACAGCAAGTAGAAAAAGGAACCACCTCTTCTTCCCTTCTTCCTCTTTTCTATCCAATAAGTAACTAGGCAGATAATATTATAAAGTCATCAACTGCCTAATAGGTCACATGTTAAGAAAGCAGCTTTTGTACAGTGTAACCTAATTCTAAATAATTCTAAAGTAGTGGACTATATTAAGAGCTGGAAGCACAGGCAATGACATTAATAGAATGATAGGGGTTATGATTTTGTATTGGTGCATTAAAATAAATACAGGAGTTTGACATGAGAGAAATCAAGCAGAGCTGATTGAAGATCATATAGCAGTAAAGTGATTGATTAAAAGTTTTTTAAAAAAATTCATGCATTAGTGCAAATCAATCCCACTAGGTTTTGCATGCTATTAGATCCCCGCATAAATTCCCTCAGTATCTATCCTTCATATAGCACTACTGCAGGGGTGTCAAACCCAAAGCCGGATCCAGCCCATGGGGTGCTTAGATCTGGCCTGTGGGGCCATCCTGGAAACAGCAAATGACTGGCCCGCGGTGCCTCTGCCAAAAAAACGGAGCACAGGAGAGCTGTGTGGCCCTTCCGAACTCCGTTTTCGCTGGCAGAGGGTTGCAGGAGGCCATCGCAGCTGAAAAGAACTCGGGAGTCCATTTTTGCTGGCAGAGCGCTAAGGCCACCCTAGGCGCCCCTGACGAGTGATGTTGAGATAGCCATGCCCACTCTGGGCACGCCCCCATCCCCCAAAGTCAAACACAACCAATTTTATTTTTATACCAGATTATACCAATATAATCTGACATGACCTAATTCAAGTGCCACTAGAATGTAATTTTTTCCATGAGGGAGATTATTAGAGCCATTTTGCACAAATAAAAAATCTGTTTGTTTTCTTGTGTGTCTGATAATAATGAATATGCACTTCCTTATAACAGAAGGATGAATCACACATATTCATAACCTTATTTTAGAAGCCTGAATCTTTTTTTTTGAAATTTTTTTTATTGTTTTAATTGAACAAAAACACAAAAAAGAATCATCCTTCATTACATCTTGTAGAAAGCGTGTCAATTGGTTACAAATATATTTCGTGTGTTTCTTCCACAATCATTACTTATACTTCATTCATATTGAATTGTACATTTTAAATAAACAAATCTTTATGTATTTTACTATCAATGTACCACAATTCTCATTTAACTACAATTATTTAAACATGCTTTTATCTGAAATCATTTGTATTTAAAGACACAACCACCTACTGGCATTCATTCGCAATTTCAATAAACCTCCAATAACATTACACCTTTATAACATATTCTGAAAAAAAAATCAAATAAGATATCTAAGCATTTCCCCCCCCCTTTCCCCCCAACTCACTATTTAAAGCTTGTATCCAATTTGCTTTTACCAATACAACACACACACACACACATATATATATATATATATAT